CATACACACACACACACATATACATATACACACAATCACAGACACATATGTGTGACTAACACGTCACACAAGTCATACACGCACACTCGCAGTGTTTCTGATCAGTATGTGTGTATGACAGGTCGGGAGGAGACAGGACTTCATGGTGAGACACTGAAACATGTTTGTGTGTGTGTGTGTGTGTGTGTGTGTGTGTGGTGTGTGTGTGGTGTGTTGTTGTGTGTGTGTGTGTGTGTGGTGTGTGTGTTGTGTGTGTGTGTGAGAGAGCGCTGCTGTGTTTGTGTGCGTGTGTGTGTGTGTGTGTGTGTGTGTGTGTGTGTGTGTGTGTGCTGCTGTGTGCGTGTGCGTGTGTGTGTTTGCTGCTGCTGTGTGAGAGTGCTGCTGTGTGTGTGTGTGTGCGTGCGTGTGTGCGCACGTGTGTGTGTGTGTGTGTGTGTGTGTGTGTGTGTGTGTGTGTGTGTGTGTACTGCTATATGTGTGTTTCTAATAAGCGTACACTCTTCAGCAGCACAACAAGAATAATCATGACCAGTCTGGTACCAGATGTACTATTTTACATGTGTGTGTGTGTGTACTGTGTGTGTTTAACCTGCAGGTGTCCAGGAGGATCAATCGTCAGGTAAGACGTCTGTCAGACTGTCTGCTGATGGATTTAGTTCTGATGAGCTCACAGTTACTCTCACAGCGAGCAGTTTAATAATTCATTTATAATCAGAGGGTCAAACATCTCTCTTCAGTCAATCAAACAGGTGTGTGCGTAAAGCAGAGATCAGATTACAGACGGGTACTTGTGTGTACAGATCGTTTTGAAGACGTGTGCTCACTTTAATATCTAGATTCACGATGAGGGGAGCAGCAGGTCAATGCTGTTCACCTGAGTGTGTCGACAGTTTGAAATACGAACCGTCGTCAAGGTGACAGACGTATTCAGATCAGCCCGAAACTCAAACAGGAGGATCTCTGTTGATTTCTCTCTCTCTCTCTGTATTTCTCTTTCTGTTTTTCTCTCTCTCTCTCTCTTTCTTTGTCTCTTTTCTCTCGCCCTCCATGCTGGCTCTCTGCAGCAGGACTCTCTGGATGAGGGGCTTTGTTACCATGGAGACGGTGACTCTGAGCATCCTGCCAATGCTTCGGCAAGTCTCTCTGTCTGCATTCACTCCTCTTCCTCCTTTTGTCTGCATGATGTCTCCTCCTGCTCCTCCCCTCACTCTGTCCTGCTCTGTATGCCTGCATGTCTCCTCCTCCTGCTCCTTCTCCTCTTCCTCCTCTTCTGCCTTCTCATCCTCTTCTTCCTCCTCCTCTTCCTCCTGCTCCTTCTCTTCTTCCTCCTCCTCCTTCTCTTCCTCCTGCTCCTCCTTTTCTTCCTCTCCTCCTCTTCCTCCTGCTCCTCCACTTCTTCCTCCTCCTCCTTCTCTTCTTCCTCCTGCTCCTCCTCTTCTTCCTCCTCCTCCTTCCTCAGCTTCGTCCTCTTCCTCCTTCTCCTCTTCCTCCTGCTTCCTCTTCTTCTTCCTGCTCCTACTTCTTTCCTCCTCTCGTCTTCTTCCTCCTCTTCCTCCTCCTCTTCCTCCTCTTCCTGCTCCTTCAGCTTCATTCAGCATGTTCTCCTGACCAGTGACAGAAAATAAGAAAACATTTCAAGTTTTTGACTTTAAAGACTTTTTGATTACTACTCTGGAAATATCATCATCATCATCATCATCTTCATTGTCATGAGTCACTGATTCTCTGTCAGGCATCATTTGTCGAGGTGTAGTAGCAGGTGCATGCTGGGAGTTGTAGTCCCTCTGACGTGTGTGTGTGTGTGTGTGTGTGTGCGCAGAACCTCCCCGCTCTGAGTACGGAGCTCAGGGGAAAATGTTCCAGAACCAGATTCCTCTGCTGCCAGAGAGAGCATCCAGACCACAGGTGAGTCAGTGTCACCTGTTTGACACCCCCCCCCCCCCCATCCCTCATGTGAGGATGATGATGATGAGGTCCTCTTCATTTGCAGTGAAGGATGTGATGTATATCTGTCCATTCAGCGGGTTGGTCAACGGCACTCTGACCATCACAAACTACAAACTCTACTTCAGCGGCACAGACCGGGTAAGAGACCCCTCAGGTTGTTACTAAAAGACAGTTTTAAAAAGGACTGTTAAGACCAAAACATGAGAGTTTGAACAAGTCTGCTGGAATCTGCAGCGCTATGAACCCAAACAAACAAAGATCAGACTGGGTTGACAGTGGACCAGCTGACAGGAGGAAATAACGACATGGGGATGAGAAACCTGGAGCAGGCTCCGTGATTGGTGGTTTTCTGCTCAGACCTGGGTCTTTATGAGACTGAATAAGGATGAATTTGGAATGAAACTGAATGACAGCTGAACACACGTTGAACTGCCACAGAGCTGCTGGTAGTGTGTTACAGTCAGTGTGTGTGTTTCCAGGAGTTTGTTCTGGACGTGAATCTTGGTGTGATCAGCAGACAGGAAACCATCAGCGTCCCAAACCAGGGCGAGAACACCAAGGGACTGGAGCTGGTCTGCAAGGTAACACACACACACACACACACACACACACACACACACACACACACTCCATCCATCCGTTATCTATTCTAATCTATTTAATACACCCTGGACTGTTCACCAGCCAATCACAGGGCTGACATATAGAGACAGACAACCAGCCACACTCACATTCACACCTACGGACAATTTAGAGTCACCGGTTAACCTAACGAGCATGTCTTTGGACTGTGAGAGGAAGACGGATTACCCAGAGAGACCCCACACATGCACGGGGAGAACATGCAGACTGCACACAGAGAGGATCCTGACAGACGGGGATTCAAACCAGGAACCTCCTCACTGTGAGGGGAGAACGTGAACAATACTTTGAATAAGTGTCCTCATGAGGTCTTCCATCTGTGATTTATTCACCCACACAGAGAAAGTATTTGTAGCAGACTGAATCTGAGGACGTTGGAGGATCATGGGAGTCATGAAGGAGACCTTCTCAGAGTTCTCTGTAATAATCATTTGTCTGTGATGTTTTGAATGCTTCAGGACATGAGGAGTCCGAGGTTCGCCTATAAGACGGAGGAGGACCATCCAGACGTGGTGGAGCTGATCTCCAAACACGCTTTCCCCCTCTCTCATAACCTGGTCAGTTTGTCTCTCCACGTCTTATTAATGCTGACGACACATTCATGGACTCTGTTCATCAACGTCTCTATGTTCTATAACTCTGGTGCTTGTTTCTGATACCAGTCAGAGATCGTAGTACCTTTAGTGTCCACCAGAGAGCCCCGGTCCTCTCTTTTTTTAAAACCACATGAGCAGCAGAGAACACGACACACACACACACACGACACACACACGACACACACACACACACACACACACACACACACACACACACACACACACACATACACACATACTAAAACTTTGTGTCCTCGTCTGTCAGCCTCTGTTCGCCTTCCTCTACAAAGAACTGTTTCCTGTGGACGGTTGGAAGGTCTACGACCCCGCAGCAGAGTACAGACGACAGGTAAACACACAAACACACCTGATGATGTCACTCTGCAACACCACAAACACACACCTGATGATGTCACTCTGACATCATCACAAACATTCACCTGATGATGTCACTCTGACATCAGTTTCCACAAATACACTTTAGATTTAATGTAATTTTTCTATCTAAAATAAATCTGTTTATAACGTCTAATGAGCTGGGAGTGTTACATTTATTCAATCATTCAACATATGAATTCATCGTGTAAACATCGACCTCAGCAAAGAGTCTCTGAATGAAGTCACAAACATCAACATGAAGCAGACCTGGGACCCCCATCAGCCTGCAGTCACTCTGTGTGTGTTTGTTTCAGGGTCTCCCCAACGAGAGCTGGACCATCAGTAAAGTGAACAGCAGCTATGAGCTGTGTGACACCTACCCCGCCACCCTCGTCATCCCCACCAATATCAGCGATGATGACATCAGACGAGTCGCCGCCTTCAGAGTCAAACACAGGATACCGGTCAGTCCCCCCCCCCCCTGATCTCCAGGACCTATCTCTCCCCAGTTTTCTCAAACAGCTGCTCCCTCCAGACGGGAGTAACGTGTGTTTTAGGGACTATTTCCTGCCGCGGATGAATCCTGACGGGGTTGTGCTCCTCCTGCAGGTCTTGTCGTGGATCCACCCAGAGACTCAGGCCACCATCGTGCGCTGCAGCCAGCCGTTAGTCGGCCCGTCAGACCGCCGCTGTAAAGAGGACGAACGCTTCCTGCAGATCATCATGGATGCCAACGCTCAGTCGCACAAACTCAGCATCTTCGACGCCCGGCAGGGCAGCGTGGCGCTCACCAACAAGGTCAGTGAATGACACTTCCCTGTGCCTCTTTGTTTCCTGTATCAGCGTCTGTCAACAAGTAGTTTAAAGACGTGAACTTACAAGAGGTTAGACATCACACCGACACGACCACAGCAGATCTTTGTTTACAGGACTCAGACTCCTTGCTGTGTAGACCGCCATCATGGCTGACAGACTGTAGGACTTTAAACGGCGTCTGCTCTCTGACTGCAGGAGGTCATGAGCGGCTTCATCCTGTTTCAATTCATCTCAAATATACTCACTCCTCCCCCCTCGTGCAGGCGAAGGACGGCGGCTTCGAGAGCGAGAGTTTCTACACGAACGTAGAGCTGAACTTCTTAGAGATCCCGAACATCCACGTGATCCGAGAGTCTCTGAGGAAGGTGAAGGACGCCGTTTACCCGACCATCGACGAAGCTCACTGGCACTCCAACATCCACCAGACGCACTGGCTCGAGTACATCCGGGTAAAAGAACCACTTCCTGTTCCTTTACCACAGTAGATTAGACTTGTCTCTGATTACCCGTGTCCCTGTGCGCTGTAGCTGCTGCTAGCCGGAGCGGCCAAGATGGCAGATAAGCTGGAGTCGGGGAAGACGTCGGTGGTGGTTCACTGCAGCGACGGCTGGGACAGGACAGCTCAGCTCACCTCTCTGAGCATGCTCATGTTGGACAGCTTCTACCGCACGCTGCCAGGGTTTCAGGTGGGTTAGAGCCCCTGCAGGAAGACCTCCATACTGCACTCTTCTTCTATGCTATCTGACAGAGTGCTTGTGTCTGCAGGTGCTGCTGGAGAAGGAGTGGATCAGCTTCGGACACAAGTTCTCCGCTGTAAGACGAACACAGAGAAATCAGGAAATCTAACGTTAATAAACAAATGTCATTAGTTTAACTGAGCTGAATATTAAATTCACTCTTCAGAGATCAGACTCGTACTAATCACTCGTCTGTGACGCTGCGCCACCTGAGCGTAAGGGAGCCAGACGCCATGCTGGAGGGGGCCCACCTCTCCGCAGGTGCTGCTAATGAATGTTAAAGAGTAGGAGTCTTAACTAAGCTCCGCCCTCATCACGTCTTTGTACGTTCATATTGATTGGTGTAATATCGGTGTCCCAGTCTGTGAGGTCACATTGAAGCACGGCACAGCAGGAGTTCCACATACACACACAGTCAGACACACACACACACACACACACACACACACACACACAGCGCTGTTCTCCCCCGCTACTGTGTTGACGCTCTGTGTGTGTGTGTGTGTGTGTGTGTGTGTGTGTGTGTGTGTGTGTGTGTGTGTGTGTGTGTGTGTGTGTGTGTGTGTGTGTGTGTGTGTGTGTGTGTGTGTGTGTGTGTGTGTGTGTGTGTGTGTGTGTGTGTGTGTGTGTGTGTGTGTGTTTCAGCGTGTGGGTCACGGGGATGAGAATCACGCTAACTCTGAGCGCTCGCCGCTCTTCGTCCAGTTCATCGACTGTGTGTGGCAGATGACTCGACAGGTACGTTCACCTCCTTTTATCTTCCATTCAAACACTCATGACCTGTCACTCATAGTCCCCTCGTGTCCTGTGACTACAGTTCCCAGCAGCCTTTGAGTTTAACGAGCTGTTCCTGATCACTGTGCTGGATCACCTGTACAGCTGTCTGTTTGGTACATTCCTCTATAACAGCGAGCAGGAGAGGGCGGCCAAGGTACGAACCATTCTGATGATAACATGGGGAGGGGGAAGGGGGGAAGGGGGAAGGGGGGTGAGACAGCAGGTTTAACTCTTAACCTCTCTTCTTCTGTGCAGGAGGTCCAGACCTGCACAGTGTCCCTGTGGTCCTACATTAACAGGTAAATCAGTGAAATCTATAAATGCTGATATGACAGAAAGGAGTCAGTGAGGAGTAGTAACCGTCTCCCCCCCCCCCACAGTCAAAAGGACGACTTCACTAACCCGTTCTACGTGGACTATCAGAACCACGTCCTGTACCCGATGGTGTCCTCCAGACATCTGGAGCTGTGGAGCAGCTACTACGCCCGCTGGAACCCTCGCATGAGACCACAGGTAGGACCCCCACATGAGGCCCCAGGTAGAACCCCCACAGGAGAACACATGTAGAACCCAACATGAGACCACAGGTAGAACCCCCTCATGAAGTCAAAGGTAGAACCCTCGCAGGAGAACACATGTAGAACCCCCATATGACCTTTGAAATCTGCCCAACATGTTAACAGAAAGATTAATAATTTTTTTCAAACTTTTTAGTTTTTGGGGTTTACCTGTGATTTCTCTGTGTGTGTGTGTGTGTGTGTGTGTGTGTGTGTGTGTGTGTGTGTGTGTGTGTGTGTGTGTGTGTGTGTGTGTGTGTGTGTGTGTGTGTGTGTGTGTGTGTGTGTGTGTGTGTGTGTGTGTGTGTGTGTGTGTGTGTTTCAGGTGCCGGTGCATCAGAGCCTGAAGGAGCTTCTTACCCTCCGGGCGGAGCTACAGAGGAGGGTGGAGGAGCTGCAGAGAGAGGCCTCTTCTTCACACTCCCTGTCCTCCTCCTCCTCACACTCCCCCACACACACCACAGGGACACCTGTGCACTCCGCTGTCTGACACACACACACACACACACACACACACACACACACACACACACACACACACACACACACACACACACACACACTCTCTCACACACACACAAAGCTTAATCATAGACTGCGTCTATGATATTTAAAGATGTTATAACAGTGTTTACCACCAGAGGGCGCTCTCTCTGCTTTTATATAAACTTTGTTCACATATTTCTGGTGAAGTTAAAATACATTTTAAACATTTTTAGACATTTTAAGAAGCAGCAGCCCAACTCGACCTGCAGCCACCTGTGATTATTATTTATAACGACAGCTCACCTGTGCTGCCACTTTGACACACCTTTAGATCTAACGTGTTGATGTTGTTGTTTTAATGGAGGATAGTTTAATAGTGTCTGTCTCAGGGACGTGTTACAATCATCTGCATGTTTTATACTCACTGACAAGTTATTTCATCTCTTTATTTCCTACCGTCTCACCTGTGTCTCTCCTGTGTCTCTCCTGTGTCTCACCTGTGTCTCTCCTGTGTCTCTCCTGTGTCTCACCTGTGTCTCACCTGTGTCTCTCCTGTGTCTCTCCTGTGTCTCTCCTGTGTCTCACCTGTGTATCTCCTGTGTCTCACCTGTGTCTCACCTGTGTCTCTCCTGTGTCTCACCTGTGTCTCTCCTGTGTCTCTCCTGTGTCTGTCCTGTGTCTCTCCTGTGTCTCACCTGTGTCTCTCCTGTGTCTCTCCTGTGTCTCACCTGTGTCTCTCCTGTGTCTCTCCTGTGTCTCTCCTGTGTCTCACCTGTGTCTCACGTGTGTCTCTCCTGTGTCTGTCCTGTGTCTCTCCTGTGTCTCACCTGTGTCTCTCCTGTGTCTCACCTGTGTCTGTCCTGTGTCTCACCTGTGTCTCTCCTGTGTCTCTCCTGTGTCTCACCTGTGTCTCTCCTGTGTCTCACCTGTGTCTCTCCTGTGTCTCTCCTGTGTCTGCCCTGTTTCTCACCTCCTCACCCTGACACAGGTGTGCTATCTCACTGTGACTCCGCCCTTTCTCTTCATGTTTACTGATACATGACTGTGATATGTTTTTTTCACCTCCTCGTCATTGTCTTTTCATTCCACTTCTTCTTCTTCTTCTTCTCTGTTTTTAAACGTTGATAATCTGTGTCCGTCAGGTTGACTGAAGGTCTCTGTGTTTGTGAAACTGTGAGGACGTTTCCTTTTAAATCCTAACAAATTTAACAATCAGACAGTCTAAAATATTAAATAAAACTCAAAGTTTATCTTTTATAATGGGATGTAATAAATGTTGTTTAATGGAAGATTTTAAAGATGGCGTCTGAAATGATCGTCTGTCAGAACCAGACTGTAATCCGGATCAGAATAACCCAGATTCAAAATCCTGGATCAGGATCCGGTGATCTGGTTCACTCTGAAAGAGACTGAACTGTGTCCACAGGGGGGCGCTCACAGCTGCTTTAAATTAATGATTTCATGATTACTTCATCTGCTTGGTCGTCATGGAGATCTAACAACAGTCATTATAAACAAAGTTTCAATTTGTATAAATGTTTTACTGACCTTTAGTTTCTGGTGATCTGGACTCTGCTGAGATCCTCCAGATATTTCAGAACAAAACACAAACTGGACGTCTGATTCAAACTGACTTGGAGTCTCTCTTTGTTTGGACCAATCAGACATCAGGATGTGATCAGCTGACTCTGAAACATCTGGTCCTGATGATGAACTTGATCTTCCTTGTGTTGTCCTGCTTTAGTTCAGTGTTTTTTACAGTGTAATATTAATTCACTTTGACTCTGATGTGATTCGTTCATTTACTCTGATCCTGTTTGTGAGCGTGTGTGTTTGTGTGTGTTTGTGTGTGTGTGTGTGTGTGTGTGTGTGTGTGTCTATGTGTCCTCAGTGAAGTGTGTCAGTCTCTGCAGAAACTTACAATTCTATTTGATACAAGTAGAAATCCAACAATACTTTTAACTTGTTTCGTTACCATGTCCACAGTAACAAAAACACAAGTCCTCAGTAGACATGGTTTAATAATGCATTAACAATATGCAGTACGAGAAATTAAAGTGCACATTAGATAAAACTCTTTGAAGTGTAAGTGCCTGTCTGCTGTTCCTTATGAGAAACTTAACCTGTGTTTGAAGCATGTCTCTTCAGAAACCAAAAATAGAGATTTTTATTCACCACTGAATTGGCACTGATTACTCGATAGGTAGCTGATAGTTTGCAGATGGCATCAAAACATTGTGAAAGCGTGACCGTTAAACCCAGGCCTCCATCCTTAAAAGTAAATGTGCATGCTGAGAAAAGCATTGCCTGTTTACATCAATTTTTTCTTCGTATTTATTGCCATACATTTATATTTTCACAATGACTTAAACCCAAACCTGAAATTTGCATCAAACTCAGCCGTGCATCGTGTCTAAATTACACATATTGATAAAGTCAGGTTCTGAAACATTGCCTATGTATTTGTGCAGTGAAGATGATGGCACCTCATCTGCTCTCTGTCTGTAAGAGACATAAACACCAGATGAACTTTAAAACTTGAGGATTTTCAGACCTGTGAAAATGAAGAGACCACAGATGCTCTCTCTTGTGATTGCTTTTGGTTAAAAAATGACAATCTTTAGATTTAATTAAATTTCGCTATTGACTATTTAAAAAAAAAAAACAGATGGGGCGCCAGTGGTCTAGCGGTTAGTTCATGTGCCCATGTACAGAGACTGTGGTCCACACGCCGCCCAGGTTAGAATCTGACCTGTGGCTCCTTTCCGCCCTGCACACCCCACTCTCTCTCTCTCTCTCTCTCTCTCTCTCTCTCTCTCTACCATATTTCTGACTATCCACTGTCTTATTTCTCCAATAAAAGCATTAAAACCCCCAAAACAAACCTTTATTAAATAAAATAAAAGATTACATTGTTTTAAACAAGTGGTCTTAAAGTCACATCTTTTTTACAACCTTAACTCTGTCACAACTGTGTTATTGTAAGTTATTATTGTGTAGAGATAGAGGGCACAATCACGTCAAATGCTAAAACATGAGGTCTGAATGCTGAGTCTTACTGCCTCTGTAAAAAATTTCCCTTCTGCAGCGCATCAGTGACATGCTTGTAAGTATAAAAATAGCCACATAATCTTAATTTCATTTATGGCTTTTATTTTTTCTTAAAGGCAGAAACAAAGCTTGAAGAAGGTTGCGATGGTTGTTGGGGCTTGGTTGGAGTCTTTTTCACCTTCTGGGTCACATATAAAGTTGTGAAACACAAAGTTATGACAAGAGAGTTGTACTTGAATGACACTATTATTTGGTTTGTATGGAACGAGAGTGAGCACAAGGCGTCATGATTCTGCCTCACCAGACAGGAACATCTTCAGAGTTTGTCAGTAATGCGTCAGGTGAGATAAACACTTTGGATCTTACCTACAGGTGCTCACATCTGCCGCAGTCCCCTTCAAGGCATGGTACGGGTGTTTTGGTTTGCTTGTTGTTCCTATGACCTTGTAGCTTTGAGGGTCGCGGTACTGGTCTTGGTATTCAGATCTCATTTTGGGTTGAGAGGGTTCTCTCTGAGAGCCCAGATTATTCCTGTAAATGGTGGAAAAGTAACTTTATACAACTTCAACAACACTGGAGTGATGCTTTAACCTTTGTAAGGCATACAGAGGAAAGAAAACAATAAAGGGCTGAAAATCATTCAGAGGAAGACAAAAGATAAAAGGCTTAAGTTAAACAAAACACAGACATCTTTGGCATCTCACACAAAGGTAACATTTTATGTAAAACCTGCTAAATTGTCATTGATGGCAGCTTTACAACATACACAATCAGCATAGGCTAAACACTGTCGGGAGTAAGCTGATCACACATTTTGGCAGATGCATCATATTCAACATCCTGCAACCAAAGTCCCAGAATTTCATTAAAAATATCAATGTAACGTTTAAAAAAATACAAGCTAGCATTTTATGTTCTCTTCAATAAAAGCCGTCAAAAGGTCCGTCCATCATAGAAATAAAGACACAAGCTCACCTCACTGATACGCCTTGTTGGTGGTGGTTGGTGGGCTGGGTGATTTGCACCTTGGGCTTCATCTCTTCTAGGTCTAGAAAGTCTGAATTATTGACCTTGGTGTGTGTGTGTTGAACGAGAGCGTCTAAAAATAAACATCAGTGATACGGGCCGGATGTCAAGGCGAGGACACCTTAACAAACAAAAACAAATTATGGACGATTCTGTCCACAAAATCAAGTGCCTTGCGAAGTTTAAAAGAAAATTCGGATGTAGAAATTAATATTTGGGGGAAAATAGCGCACTTGAACAAATGCAATCCTATCCTCATAATTACACATATTTAATTACAACAGGTACAGGAGATTCTTAAACATTTAAACTGACCACAGAAGCGTTGTACTATCTTTAAAACACGTTCTGCTCTCTAACAAGCAAACGCCAAACAAACCACATACGGTGACAGAGATGAAGAAAAAAACATCTCTGATCTGGAGCAGCGGTATAAAAGTATATATGGTGCTAAACAAAGCAAGTTATCTGGATCTGTACTTCCATCGTCTTGTTCATTTAAAAGAGGGACAACAACGGGAGCTGCAGGTGGCTGTACTGGAGGAGATGATGAAGTGAGTGTGGCAGTACGCAGCGAGTGAGTGAGTGACACCGGGCCCGGTGCTGAACAAGATCAGTAAACTGCTGGGAACACGCTCTAACGGCTATGGGTGGACAGAATATCATAATCACAGGCTATATGAGAGAATTATATGCAGAACAAGTTCAGTTGTTTTCTTTTTATATGATCCAGAGAGCTCTCAGTTTGAACACAAAGCACGGAGCAGAGAGAGTTATATTTGTGCCTCATTCCTGAGCGATCAATGAGCACTTTTGAACACATAAACATATAGTTTGCGAGAGGTTTGAATCATATTTTGTATAAAAGTTATATACAAGAGAAAAATCATATAGTTTGAAGAAACAAAAATCCATACAGTGTTCATTAAATCAGTTTGAGTGCTTGAAACAATCCATACAAGAGTGCTTTAACAACCTCTCTCCCTCAGTTTTCCTCGTGCGCTCTCTCTCAAAGTCTCTCTCTGTGCGCTGGTAGGCCCACTCGCTCAATGGTCTTCTCTCTCTCTTTCTCTCTCGACCCTGCTCACTCCGTGTGTGCTCAACTTTGCACGCTGTTACAAATGTGCCACAAAATCAACCAATCAGGAGTCAGGAAACGATAAACTATACCCAATACAAGCACAAACTGACATAAAAATACCAACATAAGTCAAATGAAATACTTACAAACATGTGTTTTAATACTATTGAGGATAATGCACTCTTCTGTCAGTAACATGGGTAGACACGTTATCAGTCAGTAATCAAACAATGATTCAGGGATGATGTAAATATTATAGCAGTGATCTAATTGGAGAAGAAGGAGCCAATCAGAATTGAGCTTTCCTGACTCCTGATTGGTTGATTTTGAGGCACATTTGTAACATCGTACTTGTGTGGTTTTGTTGGTTTGCTCTCTTGTGCACATAATGTATAAAAATATAAATTCAAACGGTTCAAACTAATGTGTTTTTTTAAGAATGAATATTCAAAAGACCTTTTTGGCCATTTTAGACAGAAACTACTGTGTTCTGATGAATAGAAATGAAACTTCCTCAGACCAGGATCCAGTCTTTGCAGTCCACCATGGTCCAATCTGGAGAAAGAAACCAGATCAGAATCTACTTCATCTTCATCTAAATCCAGCATCAGACAAGAAGAGTTCATCATTCAGAAACAGTGAGACAGCTTCTGTGTGTCTGTCTGTACCTCAGTGTCTCCAGTCTGCAGTGTGGATCCTCCAGTCAGCAGACAGCAGCTTCTCTCCTCGTTCTCCTGGATGATTGTAGCTCAGGTCCAGCTCTCCTCAGGGGGAGGAGCTTAGAGCTGAGGCCAGAGACGCACAACCTTCTTCTGTGATCAGACAACCTGACAGGCTACACACACACACACACACACTCTCTCACACACACACACACACACTCTCTCACACACACGCACACACACACACTCTCTCACACACACACACACACTCTCACACACACACACACACACACACACACATACACACACACACACACGCACACACTCTCTCTCTCTCACACACACACACACACTCCGCCCTCATCATGTCTTTGTATGTTCATATTGATTGGTGTAATATCGGTGTCCCAGTCTGTGAGGTCACATTGAAGCACGGCACAGCAGGAGTTCCACATACACACACAGTCAGACACACACACACACACACACACACACACACAGCGCTGTTCTCCAGACAGCAGGTTTAACTGCTTTGGCTGGTTAACGTCATAGAACTCCTCCATTTCAAGAAAGCAAAACCATGACAGGCATTTTTAATTCAGCAAGGAGTCGATTTTAAAGCTCCTGTGAGGGACAACTCTCTCCTCTGCTCACTCTCTTCCTCACACTCTGCTCAATCACTCCTTTGTGTTACCTCACCTCTCTCTCTCTTAAACACACACAGACACACACAGACACACACAGGGAGGGAGTTGCATAAAGGAAGTTGGGTCAGTGTGCTGTCCGTGTCAGATAACAGTCTCTGAACAGAGCAGCTGAAAAAACCTATAAACAGAATCTGAGAAAAAAACTTTCACAGATTTTAATTCACACAAAGATTTTCAGAATAAAATAAACTCTTATATTATATAAAGTGATTTATGATATGTGATTCAATATGTTCACTTTGTGTCACATTTTCGGTCAGATTTTAGTTCCACTCTTTCTCTGCTCGTCAGACTGAATAAACTTCACTCAGCAGAGATCTTCAGCTCATTAAACCAGAAGTTTAACTGACATTTCAGACCTGTACTTTTAGTCACTTCTGTGGTCTCTGTTTCTCTCCACACTCAGAAACATTTGAGATATGTGTTAATGTAAACGTGCTCCATGGCCACAGGCAGTAACTCAGAGCTTTCACATGACCTCACACACTAAAGGACCTGCCCACCTGGCATGCAAGAAAGTCTCTCTACTGCTGCACGCTGCCAAGAACTGCTCAGTCTCAGAGTCCCCCCCATGTCTTAACATATTCCTTTAACAAACATTAAAGCTCCTGACAAACCGTTACACCGCGCCTGCCTGTCAATCAGGTCAGCTACATGCCTTAATGTGAATAACTCTTATCCTTCATTAAATCAAAACTGATGAGTCATCAAAACATTCACCCCCTGTACAGTGTGTGCCGATTGAGACATGAGCTAATAGCACCTGTCTGTTTTTTTGAACCAGGCTGTAAACATGTTAATCTCTGCTGTAAAAACAGGCTTTTAGAATTGTAAATGGACATGAGCTTATAAAGCGCTTTTACACCGCAGGTCACACCTTCACATTCACACCCTGATGGTAGAGGCTGCTATGTAGTGAGACCATCAGAAGTAACTAATCCGATTCATACACCGCCAAAGAAGCAGTGGGAGCAATTCGAGGCTAAGTGTCTTGCCCAAGGACAACTTGGACATGTTGCTGCAGGAGCTGGGGATTGAACCCTTGTCCGTCTGGTTGAGAGACGATGACTCTACCAACTGAGCCACAGCCACCTGAGTGTGTGTGACTTCCTGTGCTTCTGCAGCCAGCCTCTAGTGGACACTCAAGGAACTGCAGGATTTTACACTTCAGCATCATCTTCATTTTTCAACACCAGAGGAAATGGTGTCTCACGTAGTCACAGTTCATCTTTATATAGGATCAATGTGATCACTCACCGTGACCTCACACAGACATCTGCCGGACGCACACTTCCAGATGTTTGTGTCCACACATAAAGCCCTAAAGGACAAAATAAGGAAATGTTTCTCTCTTCACCCGGAGTTTCTCCTCCAGCCTCCTTGTATTTATTCTGCAGAAAGTCAGAGTGAGCTGATGTGAGAACGCAGCAGGATATAATCAGGAGAATTCACCTGGAGCGAGTGGGAGGGGTGGTGACGTTTATTCCCTGTGATCGCTGCATGACCATAGACTGTCTGCACCCACCTCTACCATCTCCGTGCTCTAATGAACTGCTACATTATGTTTCCTGTAGCATTGATAGAAAGACACATATTCTCCTGAAATTCTCTAGAAATGTTCAGGAGTGTAGATGTGAAAACAGTAGTAGTGTGTATGTTTCTGTCTGTGTTTGTTTGGAAGTGAAGCAGAGCGACAGAGAGCACAAGGTAATGCGATAAGGAGCTAACGATCACCTGACCATGAGACATGTCTACATACGTTTATAATCTAACCAGAACTTCCAACAGATATGCGTGTGCTGCTCCCTCGTTCATCAACAGCCACAGGCGGCGTTCTCAGAGCACAGCACGGAGCAGCGGCGCCGGACAGCTGGAGTCACGAGACAAAGGAGTTCCCGCTGTAATTCTACAGATTCACTCCCAACAGCGAGATAATACGATGTTTTTGATATAAACACATCAAAAAACACACAGATGGTCGTTGTTCTGAAACGTGACCACAAAGTGTTTTATTCTGAAAATAAACAGCATGTTTTAATGTTGTTTCTGTGTCTGACTTCCTGTTCCGCTCGATCTGCTCCGTCATCCTGCAGAAACAGAAGCTGCAGAGGACTCTGGACTGACGGAGCGGAGACGCAGCGGAGCGTGTGGAAGCACACACACTGCTAATGCTAACGTGACGGAGTGAACACGTGGTGACTGGATTTTTCAACAGGATGAGACGTCAGGTTGAGATAAACTCTCGGAGACAGGTTTCATGTTTTCACTCGTGTTGATGATTTTACTTTTGAAATCAGTGATGAAACAAAAATAATGAAAGGTACAAATAAGACTTTACACAAACTGAGTCAGCTGGACTGTGGAGGAGTCTTCTTTTTTATTAAACCTCACTCTACTTTTACCTTTATTAACCTGGTCGATGGAACGTCACTCACAAAGACGCCTCACGTCTCAACAGAAGTGACGTGAACACTGAGAGCGTTCAACCATGATGGAGGATGTGGCGAGGAGGCAACGTCTCTAATGATACAGTCTCCATGGTAACCTCGACAACATCAGTTCAAGTCTATGAGCGGTTTGATCCAGACGCTCCGTCCTCATCGTCAGGAGGACAGGCGACGAAATCAGCCAACATGGACGCCATCGACTCCTCGTCCATCTGAGAGAGAGAGGGAGCGAGAGAGAGAGAGCGAGGGAGATGAAACATGTTTATGATAATGCTTTTAATTCCTTTTTAAGCCTCACCCCCGGAGAAGCCGTGATATAAAAAATTCAGTTTGACTTTCATGAGACAAATGTCCGATCATAATAATGACTTAAGTCGTAGTGTCAAGTGGGAGGAGCTCGAGAGCAGTTCCTTCACTCTTTCTGGCTCCTCCCACTTTACCAAATATGGCCATGTGCAGTTAAAAAAACATTTAAAGGAACCTCCTCCCTATTCATTTACCTTTTTCTTCTCTGAGCCTTGTCCCGCCTCTTCCTCCTTCTGCTCGCCCTCCCTCTTCCTCTTCACTCCCTGCCCCTCCTCTCCTTCACTCTCTCCTCCTCTTGCCTCCTCAGCTCCTTCTGTCTCTCCTTCTCAGCCTCCGTCTCTTCTCCTGGCAGTTTATCTGTGGATGTTTCAGGATTGGCTGCTGCAGACTCTTGTTCCTGAAGCGCTGGTTGTAGCTCCTCCTGCAGGCTGGAGGTGGGAT